GCAACAATGAATGAAACAAATCGTAAAGGTTTTTAACGATAAATTCGCTCCTTTCAAACGTCGCTGTCGAGAATATTGCAGTCGTGTGCATATCGCGGATCGAACAAAAGAGAGAAAAAGCACGAGGGAGAGGGAGATTAGGCTGCTCGGAGGTGTCAGAATATCAATATTACTTCATTTAAGCAAAACTCATGTATATACACTTACATCATATCTAGTTTTCTTATCCATCTCATATGCTACTTTATTTGCATCTTCTGGTGTTTCACATACAAGAGCGTTATTAGTTGCAAAAAGAACTGCTCTATCAATGTCTTTTGGAGAAAAATGCAGCACATCATATAACAATTTTACATTTTTAGGTTCTTGTATATTACTGCAAAACAATACGTAATTATTACAAATTTGCATAAATAAAAAGATATAAGACAATAAAATAAAATGATGCAAATAATTAATTTATTTACCGAAGACGTTCTTTAAGTGGTTTAGCTTGTATGTAATCGAGCGGCAGAAATGTTTCCGGTTCAAGATACTGCTCCTTTAAATATTGAATACATTGCCTGGCCGTTTTCTCAGTATCTACCACAATAGCCTCCATGTATTTACCAAGTACTTTTGTAATTGCAACATTATATCTCTTGTGTATGGGTTCACACATGTTATACATACGGTCATACTAAAGAAAGAAAAACAAGATATAAATAATTTCACTTTTTTTTTTTGTATAATATCAAAAAGAATAATACATACCACTCCAGGAAACAAACGTTTAAAATTTTCTTACAATTTCTGTTTTCTTCTTAGTTCTGGATACTTCGTGCTTATCAACTTTAGCATCGCCAAGTTGCTCCGAGATACTCTCCAATTCTCGTTGCAAATTTTGGATCTTATCCTTCGATGTACCGACATCGGACTGCAAATCAGCTCTAAGCTTTTTCTGATCCTCCAATGCAGCCTCTGATGTTTTTATATGTTCCTCTAATTTTTCCACTCGCTTGAGCGCCTCATCTCGCATATGACCCTTCTGTTTATGCTTATTCTCTATCTCAGTCTTCTTCCTGCCTTCGTTATCGAGTCTATCTTGATCTGATTTTTGTTCACGATTGATAGAATCGAGAAGCTGAAGATATCTAGCAGATTGCTTGCCAGCTTCTTCTTTTAAGCGATTATATTCTTGTACCTTAAAATTATTTCAGAAATATTAATTAAACTTATTTCAGTTTGTTTTTTATTCATAATTATTTAAATATTACACGGTTTATATTTATACCTGTTCATCTTCTAATTGCACATCTCTTCCTTGTAATTGTGACTGCCCTGCTATACTTGCTTCATAAGCAGCTTTAGCTTCTTCTACTTGTCGTAATTCCTCCTGCAACTCATGTATGTCTTTTTTATGAGCCTCGTCCGCTATACGCGCCTGAGCCAAAGCTTTGCGCGCGGACTCCACTTTCTTCTGCATATGGGCAACACGTTCTTTGGCCTTTATAAACGTTGGTCTTTTTTTCGTAATTTCTACTTCTACTTCTCTAATATCTTGTTCTATTTTCGCAAGATCTCTGCCCAATTTAGCAGCATCTTTCTTCTTTTCTTTCAGTAATTCCTCAGCTTTCTCCTTCTTCTTCTCAATCTTTTCAATTTCGTGCTGTTTCTTCTTTTGAAGAACTTCCAAATTTTCAGTATTCTTTTCATTATGAAATAATCGAAACAAATGCAATTCTATTTGCTTTTCCACCTAAAAGTAAAAAATAAAATCTAATAATTAATAACTATACAAATATATAAAAAAAATTAAAAACATATATAATTTTAATTTCCTACTCAACATATTACTGATATTAAATATTGTAACAAAATTGAATATACATACATATTCTTCCTTAAGACGTTGATATTTTTCAGCTTCCTCTTTCTCTAATTTTGCTTCTTTTCTTTCAGCGGCAATTCCTTTCTTTTTTTGATATGAAAATTGCGTTTCCTCTTCAGCTTTCAACATTTCTGTTTTCAATCTATAATATTACTATTATTATTTTCAAGCATATGCTATCAAATATAACTATATGCAATAATATTTAAAAATTTACCTTTCATATTCTGTTTTTAATGAACCAGAATTACTGATCTCTTCAAACAGAGCAGTACGTTCTTTTGGATTCTTCATGGCTATAGATTCAACTGCACCTTGGAATACCAAAAAGTTTTTTGCTTTAACATTAATACCAAGTTGTTCCAGCTCATTAAGATATACTTGACTGGTGACAACCTATGGAAACATTTTAAGGATTTTGAACTATGCATATGCAATTGACTAAAATTCCAGTTGCAAAACTTACGTTATTATTGATTCTGTGTTCAGAAGAAGAGCCTTGCACTGAACGCATAAAACTTTTTTCAGTTCCATCCTCCAACTCAAATACAGCTGTTACTGAAGCGCTATATATAGTAAAAAAAAAGCTCATGGTTATATATTTCAACAGATACAACATAGAAATTATAACATATAATTCTAAAAATATATAAATCATTATCGACATAGACATAGATATAGACAATCAATATAGATATTATTTATTATCAATATAGATATAGATCAATATAGACATTATCTATTATACATGATAGATTACCTTCGAGCCACTGGCATCCCAATAGATGCACCGTGAATGAGCTCGCTAAATCTTTTGACTCGCAGGCTGCTAGTCTTTTCGCCCATGACAAAACTGATAGCATCCATGAAGTTGGATTTTCCTGTCATATAACAAGAATACATTATAATCTTACAATCGTACCGACTTCATCTATCATGCAGAACATTACATCTTATGTCCAATGAATAAGATGAATGACTTTTGTAAAACAGGATCTAATTTGATTAATTTAAGTGTGTAATTACAGTTTTGAGGAAACGGTCATCGCTCAACTATGCATTCAATGAACGTACCCATTGTTGATATACAGAATGATAACCTACCCGATCCATTAGGACCAACCACTGCCGTAAAGGACTTTAATGGGCCAATAATAAGCTTCCCTTTGTAAGACTTGAAATTTTCAACTTCGATATGTTTCAAGAACGCCGGCATCCTCAAAAATAATTAAAAAATCGCGTGAAATTGGAAAGTAGCGTAATTGGCGCCACAAAATTTCCAACGCAAGCAAGCATCAACATTCAACTGTCTTCTTCAGCGAGGAATAAAAAGGATAAGAAGAGGAAGTTTCATTAGAAAACACGAAACTGCGATCGCACTGCCATCTTTGGAAAATTGCTTCACGTATTCAAAAGTAACATTTCATTGGTCATACGACAAATTATTTGAACGTGTTGATTGATTACAAGATAGAGGATTTCTGGAGACTTTAAAACTTTACTATTTAATAGCTAAGCAACAATGACAAGAAAAATATTATTTTAGTGCTGATTTTAACATCGTTTCACTATCTTCGATTAACTTAACTAATCAATTAAGTATCAATTATGATTGATTAATTCTGATGTATCTGGCTTAATGACAAATGCGATTGGTCAATTTCAATGAGATAATCGACTGATTAAATTAATCAATGATAGTGAAAATCGGTCCTATCTCCAATTAATTTTATCAGTCGATTAAATTTAATGATATCAACAAAACTTAAATTGATGGTATTATTTTATTTTTTATTTTCTGCAAATTATGATTTATTTATGTAAAATATAAAAACATTTAAATAATTATATATTATTTATAATTAAATAATTAAAAATTGGATTAAGAATGATCAGTTAAATTTTACAGTTAGCAATTTAATCGACTGATTAAGCTTATTGAAGACCTGCCTTTACAAGTAGGTTTTTTTGTCAGGCAACATTATGCATAAGATTTTATAATACTGGATATGCCTTTTGAATTAAAATTGAAGTCTGAGTTGATAGAAAGACTG